GCGGGAGAGCAGGTGCCTCCGGAACCCTCATCCGCCTGAGAACCTTGCACAGGGTGAGCGGCGATTAGGTTTTTGGGGAGTGATCCGCGACTGCTCGTCCATGTACGTCTTCTTCCTGGTGGTGATCGCTCTCGGAACCCATCTTCTTTCCGGTGATTGCTTGTGGAACAACAAGGTGTCTTCTTTCTGGTGATCCGTTCGTGGCACTGCACTGCGAACACCGTCCTGCATCGACTGTGGTCCACGACTTCGAGCAACGCACTACGTCGACTAGTGCGAATGGAGCCTCCGATGCCCTTTGGACCCTCCGCTGGGTACAATCTGATCTTAATAATTACAACATTTTACATTCTTACTGTATCGATTTGTATGTCATGTATGCATGCTATAGAGTTCGTTAGTGATTTATACATGCATACATATGTTGTCACGAACCTACTGATGTTATATTTATGGATTAAATTAACCATGAAAATGCCTAAATTTCTAACAGTAACAAATTACAATTTTCATTGTGTCTTAGCAGCAAGAAAACTGAAAATGCTAGTAGCTTGGAGTGAAGAAGAATCCCTAAACTAGCCAACTCTGCATGCCACATCGTTTCGTTATTCAGAATGGACGAGAGGCCCATAGTTGTGCTTGTGCATAGAGCCACACGACCCTTTGACTCTGCGTCTCTGATTCATACGATGGGAACTTTTATAAAACAACACCCATAGTTAGTATTTTCCACCAAACCTCTAAGACTGACGTTTTGTTTCACTACAGCGTGTCTAAAACTTCAGTTATGCAAAGAAAAAAACTCTTGGGAGGCACCATGGTTTTGCCTGAAATAATTCACGAAAGAGGTGCGTTTGTTGACCATAAACGCCTAGAACATTTGTCAACATGTCATTTGGGAAATATTCCAATTACTAACATTTGTCAACATGTCATTTTTGCTGGGTATTTAGACATAAGATAAGATTATACTAAAGCTGAATCTCCGGTTACTTACATGAACACACTTACCATATAGACCAAAAGATTTTAGATAACTCAAAGCATGTTTGGCAGAGCTCTACTCCTAGATTCTCTAGTGAAGTTATTGTACTTAATTATGGTGGGAGAGCAGGTAGGGAGCATTTGATGATTGATTCTAATGTGATTCTTGTGGGTTTTGAACGGGGAGTAGTGGAGAGTAGGGTTTTTTTAGCTCCCACCTTTCAGCGTAAATGGATGAGTAATTCTTGTTTGCTCCCCACCTTTCAATGATTCTGGCCTTCTGGGCCTCCGCTTAGGCTCTTCGAAGTTCATGCTAGGTCTAGACATTAGCGTGTGTGTGTATATATATATATATATATAAGTCTACAGCGCTGCTGCTACAGTGCTCTATGAGAGGAGAAAGCAAATCTTCTCTCACAGAGCATTGCAGGCTGCAACCGAATAGGCCGTAGATAATCCAAGGTGATGAGGTCTAATTTATATTAGTTTGTCCATGAAAGCCTCCGGGATCTCCAAAGTCTTAGGTCTTTTCCATAAAAAAACCCAGGGCCCACTAATCTCTAGTGATAACTATTAGTAATCCTTTCGTATCAGGTTGTAATTCTAAAATGGTGTTGACTCAAACGATCTAAGGTTTGATCAAAGTTATATAAAAAGATACAGGCCTTGTTCGGATGTACAAGGGCTTGTTGTTAGTTCGAACTAGGACCAACTAGTTATTATAGTTGGCTAATAATTAGCTGACTGAAAATTAGTCCTGTGCCATTTGGATCCTGTGACTAATGGATAGTTCTATTTACAGACAAAGATATTGATGCCCCTTGCCTATTTGCACCACCTACTTGCATGCAAAGACTAGAGAGGGGTGTTTTTGACTTTTGTTGTGAAGGGAAGGGGGACTTATATTAAATCTTGGTATGACACATCCTCAAATTACACATAAAAAATCTGAAATAAAAATACATAATATTCTATCCAGATTTTTCCATCTTCTTCTTCCCCAATGGCATCTCTCGAATACCGGAGCCAAAGTGCAGTCCTTATGCCGAATTCAACGACCAACCACAAAATATTGGACATGCCATAAGATCCAACACTTTGGAACCAGTCCCGGGCTCTCGGCCTAAATGCATCTAAATTGTTGAAACAATATCGACAGTTGCATCATCAGATATGGCATAGGCTGCAGATTCATCACATCAAGACCTTGAATTCCTCTCCGCGACCATCGACGATGAGATCGATAATCCGTAGTCGCTGTCCTCATAGGGGCTCCCAGAAACACCCCTCCGCTTGCTGATAAAGGCCACAAATTGGCCGCCTACCCATGAAATCAACGCCCGCAACGACGATCTTGTCGTGGCAATCATCGAAGTCATCACAGGAAACATGATCCAGACCGAAATTCATCTAATTTTGCCGAGAGATTTATTTAGACTGAGCCCTAAAGAAACTAGAACTAAAAACTACGAAAAAGAGAGATGGGTCCCCTCTCCTTCTTCTTACCTCCGGCAGGTGCACCAGAGAGGAAGAAGGAGAGGAGCCCTAGGTGGAGGCATGGCGGCCGCGAGTCCTAGGAGCAAGGGCGGTGGCGATGGCGTTTTTCTGTAGAGCCTAGGCAAAATACGCTATAATTGACTTGCACCTAGGTTTTTTTTGACTTTTCAAGATTAGTTGCCCCCTATTAATCCCGATTAGCTGGGCTTTACCAACTAGTAGACTAACAATTAGTTAGAAGCTTAGCTAAAGATTAGACCCCATTAGCCCATCCGTTTGGATCCTTGTGGACTAATAATATTATATTTCATCCATTCCAAATTATAAGTCGCTTTGACTTTTTGTTCATCCATTTTGCTATGTATCTAGACATATTATTATATCTAGATGCATAGCAAATGGATATACCAAAAAAGTTAAAGCGACATATAATTTGGAATGGAGAGAGTATTAAATAAGTATCATTAAATTCACCATGATATATATTTCCATATATAACTATTAGGAGTTATACATGTTGATATTATTTTTTCTATAAATTTAGTTAAACTTAAGATAATTTAAATTTCATCTTTTTTAGACAGATATAATATCTTTTGGTGTTGAATTTTAGACCTCTATCGAATGCATGCTTTTTTGTTTTTTTTAATTCCTGCACTACTCCGGTGAATTTTTTTTCGAATACTATTCCGGTGAAATTTTTAGTGCCTTGAGAGTATTGCCTGATTTTAAAATAATCATCCTCTAAGCCGCCGAGTGGAGAGAGTCTGATGCTGCCAGTGCCATCCGTTGCAAGAAATGAAATCCAGAGGTTGGTAGGCTGGTAGCCACTGCTGCTGGAGTACTGCACGCATCTGTCATGATGAGTCTTGAATGAGGTGAGCTGTGCCTGACGGCCACATAGGAGTATGCCAAGCCATGCCCCTGCAGCCTTCGCGACGGCTGACGCACCGGGCTTGAATGCCTCTGACCTCTGACCCGACTCTACTCGGCTGCCAGCACTCAGCAGTAAATGGCTTCTTATCGCTTCCTGGTACTCCCTCCAACGGCTACTATTCAGTCTCAGGTAGGAGCGATAATGCCGATTTTGAGACGAGCAACCCTAGCTCCTACGCCCCTAATGCCTTGAACATTCAGCAAGAACATGAGTTCAGTGATTGAGGTCGTGTGTGTTTAATTGGGTGAAATTTGAGAATTTGGTTACTGTAGCACTTTCGTTTTTATTTAACAATTAGTGTTCAATTATTGATTAATTAGGCTCAAAACGTTCTTCTCGCGATTTCCAACCAAACTATATAATTTTTTTTTTTCGTCTATATTTAATGCTCCATACACGTATCGCAAGATTCGATGTAATGACTATTATAACACTTTTTGAGAAACTTTTTTGAACTAAACATGGCCTAAAATGAGAGCTGAAAAATGAGATGCCGAAGACTGAAGGGCATGAACAGGAACTATACTGCTGTAAAGTAGTGCACGTGAGACTATCCTGTACCAAGTCAACCAATAGTAGTAATAAGGCCATGTTTAGATCTCACTCAAAAACTAAATTTTTTTTAAGATTTTCCATCACATCAAATCTTGCGGCACATGCATGGAGCATTAAATGTAGATAAAAAGAATAACTAATTGCAGCAATTTTTTATATAAAGAAATTGAACACGACAACTGGCATCTTTGTAAGCCTAAATAATCTATAATTAAACAATTTTACCAAATACAAACGAAAAATCTACAATAATATTTTTTCAGATCTAAACGGGGCCTAATATCTTGCCGTGGGTGCAAGATGGCGATTTCAACTTTGTTGCAGGCCGGTAGGCACATATTTCATTATATAACATCCTTATAAATCAAAAACACTAATAAAAGCAATCTTTTTATATAAAGAAATTTAAACACGACAACTGGCACACTATTGTAGTATAAGTCTTGTCGAACCTTACTGTATCTATTAATTTATTTATGGTAAATCATATATAATCATACCCAAAAAAAACCACATACATGTTCTCGAGGAAATGAAAACTAATTAAATGTGTTGATTTGCATTATGTAATTCCGGACGAAACAGAAGGCCAAGTCATCAGTGCCTCCGACGAAATTTTGAAAAACCTACGAGTAAATCACTTTGTTACAGAAAATCAGGAGAAGCAGAGAAACCGCCGGGCGAAACAAAACAAACTCGAACTGAACTGGTAACAACCCACGAGCTAATCCCGCAGTCTTTTTCGCGTGGCAGCAGACCTGGGAAAAGCCGGTGGTTTAGCTGATAAGCTACGATTAAAAATACTATTAACTAATTTATTATAAAAAAATATTATTCATCAATCAAAAAAAAATACGATTTATAAGCGACACTAACAGCGCGTAGGCTAGCCGGCCCCGATATATAGGCCCCCCGGACGCCGCTACTGTTTCTTCCTTCCTCCAAAGCTTCGTCGCCCACTTCAACCGGGCAACGCCTCCTCCCTCCCTCCCTGTCCCGTTGGCTCTTGCAGCAGCGGCTGCCGGCAATGGCGGCGGCTTCTTGGAGAGCCGTGGCGCTGGCGGTGGCCGCGGTGGGCTTCTGGCTTCTTGGTGGCGGTGGTGGCGCGTGGGCGTTCCCGGCCGAGGATTTGGTCACGCGGCTGCCGGGTCAGCCGCCGGTCACGTTCAGGCAGTTCGCCGGGTACGTCGACGTCGACGTCAAGGCTGGCAGGAGCCTCTTCTACTACTTCACCGAGGCGCAGCAGGACGCCGCCGCCAAACCGCTCACGCTGTGGCTTAATGGAGGTTCGTCGCTACCGCTCGCCTTCTCTGTTCTCTCTCACACAGTGAAGTAAATTTTGGTGGAAGTCGTGTGCTCTTGTTTTTACTCTGCCTGAACTGAAGCGACGATGTTGACGGGGGCAAATGCGGCTCTTTTTTTTTTCTCGGATAGTAATCTGTCCGCCGTCCGTCCTCCTGAACGTTTGCATCTGAATTTCCTGGATGAAATTCAGAATTGAATCGTTTGGTTTGACTGTTGTTGAATTTCACTTGATTCAATTATTGACGCTGCAGGGATCTCAATCCCTTTTGTCACGGTGCCTTGAATTTTGATGGACTTTGTTTTTTAACAGATCTATTGGATTCCAGAGTTCGCCTCTGGGGCCGTCTTGTTATCTGTTGTAGTTCCGTTTGGTATTTTAGCAAAAACAAAACATATCTGATGTTCTGTCACTTGGAATCTGGCAGCTGTACTGTTCCATTAGACACATCAACACGTTTTCCTTTTAAAAATTTATAAGTTATTGACGTATTAATTATTAGAAGAGTACTGTTGCCAGGACCAGGGATTGAATTTAATCATCGATTTTCTCAAATATGCCTTTTTAAAATATAATAGTACTATATCTCTAAGGAAAAAATCTTTATTTTTATTCGCTATCTAGCATATGTTTCCTTGTTCAGGTGGGTGGGGATTATGATGCCCAGGTAGTGTTTCCTGGACTGGAAACAAAGGACTACTCCTATTCGTTAGTCGTTACCTACGCCACACCTGCCAAGAAAAAATAGCAAGGAATCATCATTATTAACTTGCATCTTGATACCCTGTTTACTATGGCCTTGTTTAGTTGGTGAAATTTTTTGGAAAATTGTACTGTAGCACTTTCGTTGTTATTTGGCAATTAGTGTCAATCATAGTCTAATTAGGCTTAAAAGATTCGTCTCGTGAATTTTGTCTAAACTGTGTAATTAGTTTTATTTTTTATTTATATTTAATCTTCGATGTATTCGTCAAAGATTCTGTAATCGGGAAAATTTGAAAAAATTTTAACAAAATTTGGGAATTATTTTTCCTTGATGTCACCATTTATGATTTTAGAATGCCTCGTTCACTTTGCAAAAAAAGCGTCCGATGAATAATTCACTTTCGTGATTTGACAAATATATCATCTTGAAAAAATCTTTTATAAAATTTCTCGTGATTTCCAACTAAATTGGTACTATTTTTTATCCTTTTATGTCACCACCATGTGACCTTGCCCGTTTAGAGCCTTACTCTATCGGGCTCTGTGTGGTGTGGTCCCTGCCACCCTGTGGATGTCAAAAGAAGTGAGAAATCATTTGATCCCCACGCAGCAAAAGACACACCGGTAGAAAGCTTCAGGCATAATTCGATTTCATCTCAGTGGATGAAAAGAAAAATAACAATCATGAACTTCTTTCAAGGAACAGTATATTTGTTACTAATTGTTACAACAATGACTATGAACTTCATGAATGATCAGGAAATGCATTTTAGAGTTGCTGCAGATATTCTTCCTACTTATAGTCTCAGCACATTTGATTTGTCAGGTCCTGGCTGTTCTTCGATTGGAGGTGGTGCTTTCACAGAGCTAGGGCCATTTTATCCGAGAGGAGATGGTCGAGGCCTCAGATTGAACAAGAAGTCATGGAACAAAGGTTGACCATTAGGCTGTTGTTATATTTCCAACCCATTCTTAAGTGAGAATGGAAAGTGCAGGTCTTAACGTTTAGTTTGTTTCAATGCTGTTTTACCTTCAATTTTGCAGCGTCCAATCTTCTGTTTGTGGAATCACCAGCTGGAGTTGGATGGTCTTATTCAAACACTTCATCAGACCACAACACTGGAGATGTGCGGACAGGTTAGTTTCTCTGACAGTTTATTAATCATAGCGAACTACTGTAAGCTGGAATTCTGGATCTCACTGTGTCTATTTAACTATGCAGCTAATGACATGTACCAATTTCTGCTGGGCTGGTATGCGAAGTTTCCTGAGTACAGATCAAGAGCTTTATTTCTTACGGGAGAGAGTTACGCAGGTAATGAAGTATTTCAAGAGTGAATTCTCATGTTTTAGTATAATTTGTTTGTCTTGTATGGTGAATGGTATTGATAAATAATAATGCAGGGCATTATATACCACAACTCACTGATGTACTTCTCACCCATAACGAGAAATCAAAGGGTTTCAAGTTCAATATTAAGGGAGTCGCTGTAAGTAATTGAGAATAACTTGGTCAATGTCCTTGAGAATTAAAATTTATTCTTCTTACTAAGCTTTAACTCAAAATTACCTTTGAACAGATCGGGAATCCGCTTCTCAAGCTTGATAGAGATGTCCCTGCAACCTACGAGTATTTCTGGTCTCATGGCATGATCTCTGATGAAATATTTCTAGCGATCAGCCACGGTTGTGATTTCGAGGATTACACCTTCAGCGACCCCCACAATGAGAGCAAGTCATGCAACGATGCAATTGCAGAAGCAAACAGTATAGTTGGAGACTATGTCAACAACTATGATGTTATTCTTGATGTCTGCTACCCATCAATCGTGATGCAGGAGCTACGGTTGCGAGAATATGTAAGCTTGCTCCTCATGGTACAAAATGTTACAGAACCATTGGTTTCCTCGTATGATTGGCTTTTTTTTATTGCAGGCCACAAAAATCAGTATTGGAGTGGATGTCTGCATGTCCTATGAAAGGTTTTTCTATTTCAATCTACCAGAGGTGCAGCAGGCTCTGCATGCTAACAGGACGCATTTGAAGTATCACTGGAGCATGTGCAGTGAGTAAGTGTACCAGTGCTACTGCTACCAGTTAAAATTTTTGTCCTAACACTGTTCAGAATTTAGATGCTTCTGTAAGAACTAGTTTTAAACTATGTACGTTATTATAGTAAAGTTCCATGAAAAGAGGTTTTTTTTCCCCAATTTGTTACTGACTATTTATCCTCCCAGTATATTAGTCTGTTCGCTTGCTCGTAAACGATCGTAAATTTCCACCCGGGAACAGTGTTTTTTATAAAGATAGTTTCTTTCAACAATGTTGAAAATACATATAAATAGTAGTTGTGATATGTAGATATATATGATTAGGTTGGTCATCTTTTCAATGCAAACTCACATGGGTCATTTGCATCATGTGCCAGTATCCTGAACTACAGCAATACAGATGGCAACATCAACATCTTGCCTACACTTCAAAGAATTGTGGAGCACAAGATACCACTATGGGTGTTCAGGTGATGTAACTCTCCTTTGCTTCATAATACATAAACAGTTTTGCTTCATGTCAATATCTTGTGACATGATGACTCTACACTACAGCGGCGATCAAGACTCTGTTGTGCCCTTGTTGGGCAGCCGAACCCTTGTGCGAGAGCTAGCTCACACCATGGGGTTGCATGTCACAGTCCCCTACAGCACTTGGTTCCGCAAAGGCCAGGTATAGTTTTGCATGTTCTATAACCACAGTTTCAGTTTTTGTTCAACTTGACAACCTTGTTGTATAAACAAGATTCTGATGCAAATAGAAGTTCTGACCATGGAAATTTCTTTGGCCATTTGCATTCTAGGTTGGAGGCTGGGTGACGGAGTATGGCAACTTTCTGACCTTCGCCACAGTGCGAGGTGCATCTCACATGGTGCCATTTGCACAGCCAGACCGAGCTCTCAGGCTATTTCAATCAATTGTACTCGGGCAAAGACTACCAAACACAACCAATCCACCAATTGAGTAAGTGTATCTACAAAAGAAGGTGGAGATAGAAAAAAAATAGCTTAGATTTTTTTCAGTTTTGCTACAATAGATGAGTTCATAAAGATGTGTAATGTGTTGGATGGTCAATAAGTTCGTTATTATTTATAAAGAGCAGAAATAATACTTTTAATGTTGTGGTTATTGTCATTACATATATCTCATCAATCTGCATCCCTCGAAGTTTGGAACACAGAGGGATTTGTGCAAGTGACAGCCAAAATAGTCCAGGGATTACTCTTCCAAGTTTAACAGCATTTCACTAGTCCAAACAGATGGCAAACTCTCTCTGCAATAATGTCACCTTAGTGCTGTGTTTAGCTCGATAACTGACAGTTCCTGTCGGCAGTGACAAATTCCTTAACTGTTATTTTCTGAACAAATTCTGCTCGGTCAGTGTGCAACAGCACATGGCACAGAAAGTGAATCTGCATCAGGAATATAATAGGCAGAGACTTATCTGCATTGGATGGCACAAAGAATGCAATGAACTGGTAGGTTAATACGCGGACAGGGCACACAGCATGGAAGCTGACCCAGTTGGAAGCTGGATGTCTCTTTGCTCCCCGATGGCTAAAAGCTGACTGTAACAAGATGAAAAAAACAATCTTTGATGCTCTTGGGCAGTAAGAAATTCTTGTCATGAAGCGAGATCAGGGCAAAGTCAGTGTTTGGATTGGATGGTGGAAACAAGGTGCCAGGTCAAGCAATTTGCAATTGATAAAGCTTGGCGCCTTTTAATAGTTTTGTCTGGCCATACCATACGTATTCAGAACGAATCCAAAGTATGTGATCCCTAATCTTAAGTTTCCATATAGAGCATTGCACTTCCTTTGGACAAACCCCATAGGTTACCACAGGGCACAGGCCATTAACAAAGTGTGTCAGCATTAGAATGTGTCTTCTAAATAATATTCAAGTACTCCCTTGCTCTAGATTCATGCTTTGATCTTGACTGTCTAAATCACAAATATTTTGGTATGTATTACACAATTTAAATCAAGTAGCAAAATTTATACCTATTAGAGAGCCATTTGAATAAAATCAATGTCTATAGACATGTTTGGCAGAGCTCCACGCAGCTCTAGATCCTCAAAATCAGCTCCGCTCTAGATTTTCCCAGGTGAACGGTTTTAGATCCCGCAGCTTCACCAGATATCTGCTCCACGAAAACGATGGATCTGCCCTCAGATCCATGGATTTGATGGAGTATCTAAAGGGGTGCTCCATGAAATCAAATTTGGTGGAGTTGAAAAAATACCCACTGCTCCACTACTGCCACTCGTTGCGCAACTTACCCCTTCTTCCTTTTTCTTTTTCACTTACCCCTTCTTCCTTTTTCTTTTTCCCCGTAGCTTTTCTTCCGGTCGCGTCCTTTCACCGTCGTAGCTCCACCGGCAGCTCCCCGGCGAGGGCCTCCAGGCCAGCAGCGCCCGCGCCGCCCCTCCCCTCCCCCGGCGAGCCGCTCCCCAGCCACCACGGCGTGCCTCGTCCGCGACGCCGCGGCGGCCATGGCCGGCCCCCAGCCACCGCGGCGTGCCTCGTCCCCAACGCAGTGCCCGACCCGTCCGTCGGCGAGCCCGCGCCCGCCCCCGCGCGCGAGGTCGCTCCCCAGCCCGTGCGTGCGAGGCCGCTCCCCAGCCCGCGACAGCGCCGCCGCGCCCAGCCATTGCCTGCCCCTAGGCACCGCGGCGTGCCCCGTCCTCGAAGCAGTGCCCGACCGTGGCCGTGCCCGCCCGCCGCGATGCAGCGCCCGCCTGAGGTTGCACGCGCCGTGAGGAAGAAGACGTTTTTTTTTTTTTTTTTATTCTGACGCGGGGCCCAAACTGTCAGTGAGATAGAAATGGGAGTGGAGCTGCACCAAACGCTTTTTGAGATCTCCATCCGGAGCTAGCTGGATCTGTGGATTCGGAGCTAGCTGGATATGTGGATCTGGAGCTGTTTTTTTTTTTCCAGAGGTGGAGCTCTATCTCAAACAGGCTATATATTTTTCATCCTCCAACATCATCTCTATGTCTTGTGAGTTGTGTGTGCTCTTGAGAGCCAACCTCGCTCTTCATTTTTGGTTAGCGATAAATCTAGAATAGATGCTGTAAATATTTAGAGATCTAATGAAAGAAGTTGGGGAGCATTTCTTTTTTTTTCACCAAAATCTTTGTTCCTCCAAATAAGGAAGGATAAAAAAAAACTGTCATAGTTGCTCTTGATTGTACCTAAACTATTTAATATAAATCAGGGTACCAAGCCTGCTGGCAGGTGAAATCATTTCTATGCTTAGAGGAAATAATGCTCTGCAGGGGTGGATTTGGGCCTAGCCTCCTAGGGCCATGGCCTAGGTGTGGCCCAAAAAAATCCAAATATCTCAACAATTCTGGCCCAATTTGATCTTGCCCTAGGCGTGGCCCAGTACATTCTTCTCTTAACCTATCAAACTTCTAGCGCCTACGCCTTTCTCCGTCCGGACGTGCTAGCGCCTGGACGTCCGATCCGGGCGCTAGCGTCCGGACACTATCCGCACAAAGGAGCGAACGAGCGTCTAGCACGTCGGGCTTGCGAGGGAGTGCACCAATAGTGGTCTGTCGCCGCCCCGAACGTCGCCCACGCCGTCCCGGACGTCATCTGCGCTCGCTGGCCACTTCCCACGCGCATCCTATGTGCAACACCCGATCTATTTTTGAAACATTCAGATGCAATAGTTGCAACATACAAAAGAAGACAGATGAAACACTTGAAACACTTGAAACAAGCGTCTAAAACACTTGCGAAAACTCCTGAAAACATTTGAAAACCATTGCAAACACATGCAACATCTAGATGAAACACTTGCAAACATACATATGAAACACCTGAAAATACTTGCAACATATGCTTGCAACATGCATGTATATGCAACATCTAGATCTACTTTTGCAACATCCAGATAAAACACTCGCAACATTCGTCTGGAACAGATGAAACATTTAGAACATACACTTGAAACATACGTGTATAGCCATTACAACATGTGCAACATCCCGATATACTTTTGCAACATAGCTCAAAAACATCTGAAATATTTAAAACATAGTATTGCAACATGGGCTTTCAACGTAGTATTTGCTTGCTGCTTGATGAATGGAGGCTCGTCGACGCGGAGCTCGACGCCGGCACGGAGCTCGAAGCCACGGAGGTCGCTGATGTGGAGCTCGTCGGCGGCACGGACCTCAGCAGGGGTAGGGGGCGGATGGAGCATGGTTGTGACGGGAGGCCCGAGTCGAGAGCGAGCTAGCGAGCGCCTAGCGCGTCAGGTTTGCCGTACATGGAACGGTTGGGCGGCAGGGGTGCGAGTGGGGACGGCGCGGGCGAGGACGGAGTTCGTCCCGGGAGGAGAGCTAGTGGGCGACCTAGATGAGGGCGGCGTGGGCGAGTGCGGGGTCCATCCCTTCAGATGGGCGCGCCATATAAGGAGTGTTTTTGTTCTCCGTCTCGTACACGCATGTGCCATGGCGATGCTAGCATTCATCTCTCGTCCTCTCGGACCTCTCCTGACGCTCTCCTCTCCGTACATCATTGTTTGACCATGTGGTTGTGGTGGGTTTCATAATGCCTCCAAGGTGTCCAGTCTACCATACATGACCCGGACTAATTCATTCACTTAATGCACTACTATGGTACAGATTTGTAAGGGCGGCTAAAGAGGGTTTATAGGGGCGGCTAATCATGGTGGATTTCATAATGCCTCCAAACAGCCTGTTCGCTTGGTGGTTTCAGCCAGGGCTTATCAACCAGCCAACAGTATTTTCCTCTCACAACAAATCAGCACCAGCCGGGCTTATCAGCCCAGAAACCAACCAGCGAACATGCTTCCAGTCTACCATACATGACCTGAACTAATTCATTCACTTAATGCACTACTATGGTACAAATTTGTAGGGGCGGCTAAAGAGGGTTTGCAGGGGCAGTTTGACTAGCCGCCCCTACCAAACCGTTGCTACAAATGGCCGGTTTGTAGGGTTGGTTCCCAAGCCGCACCTACAAATCGATTTGTAGAGGCGGTACTACTGTATTTGTAGGGGCGCCTCTACAAAAATGATTTGTAGGGGCGGTTAAATTTACAGCCGCCCCTACAGTGCTTTTCCTGTAAAAAAAATCAAAATTTCGGTATCAAATTTGACCAGATAATATATATATATATCCACAAGTCCACCATACCATTATATATATTCAGATCAACCAAGAACATATTGCATATAATTCATCATTGCATCACATTCACAAGTTCACAAGTCCGATCACATTATATACACAAGTCCGATAACATTCAGAAGTCCGAACAAATTCCATTCACAAGTTCAATCAACGGCCTAAGCCTAGCTGTTTCCACTCACAAAAGTCCGATCAAATTCCATTCACAAGTTCAATCAATGGCCTAAGCCTAGCCTTTTCCACTCACGAAAATGTTGGTACCGAGGATTCCTACCCAAGTCGACGATGGGTCATGGTAAATGCCTCTGACGTGCACAATCCGGTCCATTATGAAGTTACAAAGGTCGTCGATGAGGTCCAAGAGGTTGTCATCTTTGTGTGGATCATTTCTCACACCTTTCTCATATTGCCACTACAAGAAAACAAGTTTAGGTTTAGTATTTCGTAACATATATGTGTGTTTTGTACCAAGTTTGTATACTACGGGTGAAGAGGATCCAACTTACCCTATAGGGGTGTCTCCTGTAGGTAGTGGTGTTACTTATGATACTGCATATGTAATATCCACAATGTACACTCCCGGGCTTCTGTTTGGGATACTGTGTGTTTCACATATACAAATGTTAAGTAATGCTTTTGACAGCAACGTAATGGAAGTACTAAAGTAAGTTTCACTTACAGCACATTTTGTTTTGACACACATGTTTTCCTTCCTTTGTGGATCATACCTCCCTTTATGCGTTTTAACATAGAACCTGTATGCCCTGTTCGAATGAATTTAACAAATGCAACTTGTTA